AGATGCGAGGAACAAATCGAGAAAAAAAGGGTATACAACGGTGCTAAAGTTGAGGCAATTAGCGTTGTTTCCCCGATCTGGGCTGTTGTAGAAATCTCTCAACTGCTCAGAATTTGCGTTTAGGCCTACAAAACAGGATTCTATTTCTCGCTCTTTTACCGCTTGGTATCTGTTTCGTTGATTGGTTCTGTTGTTTGGGAAGCAGAGCATTGTGATGAGAACATTTGTGTCCGAAGTCAGACATGACGATATCTTGTGTCAAATATGGTCTTCAAAGTTCTCTGAATTGCTTTGCCGTCTCTCTAATGCCAACTTATCTGGGTTTCAACATGTGTTAAAGGTTTGAATTTTTTTCACGAAACCGGCGATTTGGGTTGCCTCTTCTATCTTGGCAGTTCTTAATAGGGTTGGATATTTACTAGTTGTGAGGGGAAGTAGAGCAAGATGATGAGAACATATATCTCTGAAGTGGGTACATGTTGATATCTTCTGATTCAAATATGGTCTTCAAAGTTCTCTGATTTGCTTTGCCCTCTTGGGTACATGTATATTTCTGGTGAAGATGTTACTTGTTACTTTGGAGCATGATCGAATCTATCCCTGACGGATTTCAGATGGTGCAGGATCTAGGCACTTACCCATTACTCACTTTGATGATTATTGGTCTCGTCATTGTGTTCTGAAGTGATGCATGTTTTGATTTCTTCTGTTTGGAAATGGGTTTTCAAAGTTGTCTGAATTGCTTTGCTATCTCTTTTTATGTCATTTGTTCTGTGTTCCAACTGGTTCCAATGTTGGATTTATCCAATGTTGAATCATATTTCTTCAAATCTCTCTTCATTTGTGTTCAAGTAAAGCACCAAAAATTCGTAGTCTGTTGTGATGTTCTTTTATATTTCAGGCTACACGAGCATGGTGCAATATGCAATTCTTCTGTTCATGTCATACAGCAGGTCCATGTTGTCATGGCTTTGTTCCTAGGAAGAAAATACTTGAATCTTTTCTATGTGAAAATAATCAAATCGTTTATGGTGATTGTGTTTTAAATTAAAATTTTAAAATTTGACACATGAACAAGATGTTGGTAAAGTATTTAATCTCTTTATATGCTGATATGATTGTGAGATGATTAAAAATCCCAAAAAAAATCATAGATAACTATTAGTCTCACTTTCATATTCATATCTTTAAAGTTTTACAAAAAAAAAAAATGTTCAATTTTAAAATTTTTATCATAAAGTTGGAGGAAAATTTTCATATAAATTCTGCAATTTCTTAATATGTCATACAAATTTCTAATTGAAAATTTAGTATAATCTCCAATTTAGTACATAAATTCTCCGATTTAGAAATTGTTTTATTTTCAAATTAAAATTAAAATTTTAAATTTAACAAAGAATTAGTAAATCTTTGAAATTTTTATACTAACATTGATGGGAAATTCCATAAAAATTCTCCAAAGTATTCCATATAAAATTTCTAGGTAAATGTTTAGTATATATATATAATCTCCAATTTAGTATATATATTCTCCAATTTAGAAAATGTTACATTTTCAAATTGAAATTAAATTTTTATTATGTAACAAAAAAATATTCAATATTTTAAATTTTTATAAAAAAAGAAAAATTCCATAAAAAATCTCCAATTTCTTAGAATATGCCATACAAAATTTTCATATATTTTCCAATTTACAAATTATTCTCACAGCCGTGATGACGACAGTCGATACAAAACAGAGAAAGAGATCTAGATATCCTAAAATTTCTTCTACAGGTTTTCAAAGGGGGATATATCCAATCCACACTTTGACTCCTGCAAGGGCTGCTTAACATACCCTTGAAAATTCAAATTAAAAAAAAAAAGTGATTGAACATTGAAAAAGACAGATTAACTCTCACACAAATATACAAAGACGAAAAAGTACTCTGTCTGAATTTAAAATATAAAAAATAAACTATTTTATATTCTCTCTCCTACTTATAAAGTATTACATATGAATTAAAGAAAAACTATTTTATCTTCTCTCTCCTAGCTCAACCCCACGATCCTCTTTCTCTCTCCTAATTCTCACTATCTCTTCTCTCTTCCTATCGAAATCGTCGATTTCTTGCAGATTTAAATCCGATTTCTCTGCAGAATCTTCCTCTCTTTAACTCTCTTAAGACTCAAGACTCAAAGAAGAAGAAGAAGCGAAGAAGACAACAAAAAATGGCTTCGACATCAGCCCAATATTCAACTTCATCGGCATCTTCGACCGAGACCAAAAACCGAATACGAATTGCAGAGTTAGACGAACATGTGGTAGGTTACTTCTTTTTTTTTGTGAAATTTGTTGGATTTTGGCAATATTTAATGTTGAGTTGAAGTATTGGGGTTGAGATTTGACGGATAGAAACTTAGAGTTATGTTTTTTGAAATTTCTGAGATTTCAAAATAGATTTTGGGTTTGAAGTTAAGTAATCGATTGTAATATAAAATTTCAAGTTTTGGGTCATATGGATGTATGGGTCGATGTTTGGGTGAACAATGATATGTTGATTTAGGTCACATAATTGTATGGTCACAAAGTGGAAATATCACAGTCTATAAGATGATTTAGTTCACGCATGGTCACTTGGTCACAGGTTTTATGGTCACATGGTATCATTGTGACCCTTGTGACCAACTGTGACCCATTGTGACCGAAATATTATGAGTCCCAGTTTGAACATATAATATTTCTTGTGGGGTCTAGTATAATCAAAGTGTGCAAAACAGTTACGATTGACAATTCAACTCTGATTTTGGTGGGACCCAATATTTTCAACCCATATTTTTTACCCTCCAATATTTTTAACCCATTTTTTCCCTCCAAAATTTTTCTACCCAATTTTTTTTCCCTCCAAAATTTTTCAATCCAAAATTTTTACCTTACAATATTTTTCACCTCATATGTTCAAATATAAAATAAACATAAAACATAATATCATAACATAAAATTTGTAGGTTTATATTAAACAAACAAAATTTCATAACAAAAAGAAACAAATTCATAACATAAAATAAGTTCTTGATTCTACTTTTGAACATTTCTATTGACAAATATGCCCACGCATCTTGGTGACATTGTCATCACATATAGTTGTTCTTCTTGTCCTTCTTGTTCTTTTCCTTTTTGTTCTTCGTCTTCTTTTGCTCGTTCATCTTCTACTTCCTTTTCATTTATCAGACTTTTTCTACTTCTTCTTCTTCTTAAGAGACTTTGTCGAATGAATTTCCAAATCATGAACTCGATGATGTCAATTCCTCCAAATAAAAAAGAAATATTTTTTCAAACGCCTCCTTTTTTAGTATACTCTTAATTCCATGAAAATAGATGGTACCATGACACCATGGTACTATGACACCATGGTACCATGCATGGTACCATATGACTATGTGAACATGATACCATGTGACCATGTCAACATGGTACCATGTGACCATACAAATATGGTCTCATGTGACCATGTGAACATGGTACCACCATGTGACCATGTGAACATGGTACCACCATGTGACCATGTGAACATGGTACCATGTGATTATACTAATATGGTGGTATGTGACCATGCCAACCTGTGACCAAATGACCATGTCTTTTAGTGTGTACCTTTGATTTAATGTTAATCTTGTTTATTTTGTATATAAAAGGCAACTGTAAAACAAAACAAATTGATGATATCGTACGACTTGAGACCATGTAACCAAGTCACTTGTGACCATGCCACCTATTGTTCCGTGACCTTGTGATCTGTGACCATGTGACATAATTCACTATGCGACGTATTATCACGCGTGACCTAAATCATCCTATGAATTGTGATATTTTCACCTTGTGACCATACACTTATGTGATCTAAATCAACATATAATTGATCATCCAAACATCGACCCATACATTCATGTGACCTAAATTAACTCGACCTAAATCACCCTGTGACATGTAATATTTTCACCTTGTGACAAATATAATTATGTGACCTAAATTACATAGAACTCACATATATGAGTGTAATCCAAATCAACATATTATTCATTATCCAAACATCCACTCATACATCCATATGACTCAAATCAACTCGATTTTAACCTTTTGACATCATAATCGATTAGTTGATTTCAATCCCAATATTCTATTTTGAAATCCAAAATTTTAAAAAAAACCCTAAATTTCTATCCGTAAATCCCCATGCCAATACTTAAAATCAACATCAAAAAATTTTAAAATCTAACGAATCTAGGTAAAGATTCAATGGTTTCGAAAGAGAGAGATCGTGAGTTTAGGAAAGAGAAAATTTTGAGAGCTAAGAGAGAGAGTTAGGAGAGAGAGATCGTGAGTTTATGAGAGAGAACATAACTTATCTTTTTATTTTTTTAATTTTTTAAATTGAGAGGAAGGGTTTTTTTGTCTTTCTAAATTTTTATAAGGGTTTAATTGTCTTTTGTATTGTTCACCACTATTTTTTTTAATTTTGATTTTGGAGGGTAGTGACAGAAGTTAATATAGCAGGTACTTTAGATATTTCTCCCAATGAAACGAGGATATAACCTTGATTTAATTGTTATACTGATTTATAAAAAAAGTATTATTACATAGATTATTTTTTAAAAGGCATTGCACAATACTATGTTATTTTCAATGGTATGATTATTTTATTAGTATTATCTGTATCTGTAAAAATTTGTTGCTCTGAATAAATAAGTAAATAAATCTGAATAAAGGTCTCGAATTTGGAAAGTATCAGAAAAAAGAAGATTTTTAACACGTGTGTAATTTTTTTTTATGAAGAACATAATATGTAATTATTGAACACAAAGGCCGTTAAAAATGTAATCCTTATCATTTGTTACAAGAATTAAATACTCAAAGATTTCATTCCAAATCTTTTATGATAAGGCCAACATAGATTTAGCTCTAAACACTATATAAAGAACTATGGTTCTTGATGGACCTCTCCACCCATTGCATAAAAACATTTTCATAGGCCTAAAAAAAGAGAGTAAAGAAAACTATCTTTTGTAACCAAAAAAAAAAAAACAACCACCGAACATGTCGAAGGCTTACTTCACCATAATCTTCTTCGCTCTCTTGATCACAATGTCTCGTAAGCCCCTAGCTTCAATGAACAATTTGTGTATCTATTTATCTTAATATATATAAAAACATAATATAAAGACATACGCTCAAGCTATATACGTATATATATGATTATTTTAATAGTGTTATATATATGTATATATTTGTATTATGGCAGATGTGACATGCACAAGGGAGATTGAAGAGATTAGATCTTACAAGAAATGCACGACGGATAAAGACTGCGAAATTTATCATTGCTTTGTTGGTCCAACTGTTTGTGTTGAGGGCTTTTGCAAATGTGATTTTGAAGCTAAAACCTCGGGAGGATACTGAAACCGTTTTACCATTTCGTTGTCCTAATCGCTCTAAATAAATAAATATATCAGCATCGTCTTAATCCCAAGTTTATTTGAGATTGACCGTATAAATTTTTCGTTTTAACTTATTTGGATTTTATGTCATCTCTTTCGAAATTTTCAACAATTCAAAATCATTTCTAATCATATCGTTCTCAATAAATAAATAAATAAAATAAAATAATAAATAACATTCCAATAAAGTTTCGTCAATATTTTCTTGATATATCATGCATATCACATAAAAATATATTTAAATTAAATAAAGAATAAATTTGTGTTTAAGTGAATATAATATGTTGTAAATAGATTAGGAGCGTCAATTTTGGTCCGAGGTACGAAACCTAGTCCGAATTCACCCGAAAAATGTTAACATTAACCTGCAAAGCATCTCATATATACAAAATTATAAAAAAATATATCATCACAAAAATACTTACTTCTTATAATTGATTTTTATGATTTTTTAAAATTTTTAAAATTTATTCATAATAATTTTATTTATAACCATCTAAAATATATGTTTTTCAACTAAACAAATTATACAATTATTTTATATTATCCAAATCAATTTATTCGGATATAAAAAAATTGATATGATATTTACTAAATATATAAGAAGAAATTTGTGAATATAATAAATATACAAAAACAAATAAAACAAAAATATAAAAAATTATTTAAATAAAAATCATAATTTTTATATATATTTAATGTTGTTACTTTTAGTTTTTTGTATTTGATTATGATTGAATTGATGATGATGATTTTTTATCCTATAAAAGAGAATCAAATATGAAGAGTGAAAATCATTTATAAAAAAAGAAAAAAAAGATGGAGAGACATAAATTTTCTTTCTATTTGATTTGATTTGAACTTTTCATATAAAAAAAAGAAAGAGGGGGTCATACAAAAATTATAATAGGGGCACTTTGTTTCACATTATATTATAGCTCATAAATAATTTTTTTTTTAATATGAGTGTGGGGGGCTAGTGACCCACTCGGTCCAACGTGGGGTTAAAACTTAAACCTGATGGGCTTTGGATCGGTCCGAAATCATGATTTACAAAAATTATGGAAAAAAATAATTCAAATAGAAAAAAGGAAAAAAAATTATTAATCCAACGGATCAGTCTGGTTCTTTTAAATGCTACGGACACCCCTTTATATACGATTGAAACTCGATATATAGGGGTGGACACGGGTCGGTTACCTTGAGTTTTTAGGGTATCCGGGCTTCGTCTTCATCTTCGCGGGTTTTGAGAACACGCTATCTCGTTTTCGTTTTTGTCAAATCCGGGTATCCATGGTTCGGGTACCCGTCGCTGAATTCGATTACCCGAGAGTACCCGAATCCGTCTAATTCGTTAGAAAATATTGATTTTTGTTGACTTTAAAAGTATTTTAGTAATTTAATATAAAATATTTTAAATAATTATTGTA